TAGCAATGGCCTCCATGGCCTCCAACCTAGTAGCAATGGCCTCCAACTAAATAGCAATGGCCTCCAACCTAGTAGCAATGGCCTCCAACCTAATAGCAAATGGCCTCCAACCTAGTAGCAACGGCCTCCAACCTAGTAGCAATGGCCTCCAATCTAATAGCAATGGCCTCCAACCTAATAGCAATGGCCTCCAACCTAGTAGCAATGGCCTCCAACCTAATAGCCATGGCCTCTAACCTAGTAGCAATGGCCTCCAACCTAATAGCCATGGCCTCCAACCTAGCAGCAATGGCCTCCAACCTAATAGCAGTGGCCTCTAAAAATGGATTCCCCAAGGCCTCCCAGGATGGTGTCGGGCAAATGCGCTTCAGTTGGGATCGCCTCCAAATGCTCCTGGCCGTCTCGCGCGATTGGCTTTTGGCAAAAGGGTGGTGCCCCCCCCGTGGTTGGTTGAACAAGTTGAGCTCCAACCAAGCCACCTCACATGACATTGACATCCGAATTCACAGCTTGCAGCGGCTTTGGTGTGTTCTAGGTCGTGTTTGTTCAACAGGCTTTAGGTTTCCTGAGGAATGATGTGTTGATACCGGCTAAAGCTCGTGAAGGCTTTGCGCACAAGGTCACTACCAGCGCGCACAATAAACTTGACAGCGGTGTCGCGAGTTCAAAATTACCTTCCACACAACGGCATGTAAAACACTCCCATGCTTTTCCGCATCTGAACACACGATTCTGGCCCTCAAGACCTCTTTCCCATCGACTCAAACAGTAGTCCCCGTGCGTTGCGCGGCCCACCTCTGTAAAGTGATCCGGCAGTTCAGGCGCGGGTGGCCTGGGGTCCTGCAAGCGAGACATGTTCGTTCAACTGTTGACACTGTCCGTCCTGCTAGCAAAAAAACACCTCGCCCAGTCGCTCCGCATGGCACAGCCCCAATCAGCTCCTAATCGATGCCTTACATGATGGCATGGTCCCCGAACGATGGCTCTCGCATGGACCGAAGGACCGCCAGTCATGCACCGAAGGACCGATGGATTTCACTGGTCTCGGAGGCGATTTCAGCGACGAGTGAAATCGGACGCGCGAGGTGTTGGTGCAGCGACATAGCAACAACCGCAGCGGACCACCATACTGTGCAAGTATTGATCCAGTTGCCAGTTTCGTGAGAGATAAACCATCTACAGGCATAGAGAGGTCATCAAAAATACATGGACAAAATTTTAGGTAAAGTTCTTGTCTATCAATATTCTTCTCACTTTAGCATCAGTACAAATCGGACCTCTTGCTCATCCCGGTTGGTCAAGACTGCCAGAGCCCTCCTGCCGCAAAAGGCCCAAAACGGCAGGGAGCACCGTGCCCAGCAAGGGCGAGGGCAGAATCCGTGCGCGCGCCTCGACTCCGTGGCGGTGGAGATTCAAGCGAACGGGAAATTGATATGGTAGAGGATAATCATCAGGTGTTCATAGAGGACAATTGTCCTGACTCAAGAAATACTAGTTCATAGGATGTTTTTGGGCCCTTGCTCATAGTCATATAAGCTCCAAAACGGGCGGATGCCTTGAACACTTGGCGAACATTTACGTAACGAATTGGACGTCCATGGTTTATGTGGGCCCCCACAATGTGGGCACCTAAAGTCCAACTATATAGAAAAAGGACATTGCAAGCCCGCCTTCCTCTCTAGGGTGGTTGGTCCGTCGCAATTTGGGTGCTGGCTTGAGCAATTCTGGTCAGATCTTGCTGGATTAGCTCCCGTTGGAACACCCTCCAATCAAAGGGACATGCCAAAGCAGTGAGATAAAGGTGAAGTCATTAGTTGTCAAATGCAATAATGGTCGGTGTAGCTACCTGATCGCCTAACCAAGCAAAGTAAGAACAAAGAAATACTCTGCTACTCAGCAGCCTGGTTCAGCTTGAGGGTCACTTGCATGCCTGGGATCCAACCGCATGGTCATGGCTTTGAGACAATTGGATTGGCCTTCTGCATCTGAATGGTTGGACTTGCCAACAGGCCCGTGACACTTGGTCAACTAGCAACTGCTGGACGTGTGGATTTAGGAAGCATTCCACATCAAACCGTGTGATACCTGGATTGTACATGCTAAAATTCCAAGCATCCCAAAAACGCTACAAACAGAGCGTCTATATACATATATATATATAATACACGTATTGTTACAAACAAACATGATGCCGCCTATATAATGGGTCCTGTCCCCCACAACCAAACAACACTCGCATTTCCGTCCGATGGTCTCCAGGACCTTGACATGGCCCCTTTTGGGGCTCTATGTGGTGTCTTCAGGCATCTGTGTTTCTGAGATATTTCACGGAGCTTATTCATTGGCTTTCCAAACGTTAGTATAGAACAACTAATGTGTAGGCGGTCTGCTCAAAAACTTTCTACGATATATAGTCAGTCTCAGTCTGCTCAAAAACTTTTTGAATTCCAACTTGACTTGGATCACTGGAAATCACTCTTCGAACTAATTACCAAGGACTTCCTGAACTTCCTGACGCTTCTGGTGCTACTGAAGCCATCTGACCCTCCCCATCCAAGCAGCTCCCAGGCTCTGCCGGCAAGAACGCCGCCAGCCACATCGAGGGCTCCACCACCCTCGCGAAGTGACATTCACCGAATGGGATGGGGACGGATGGGGGACCATGTCTCAGTCTGCGTGGGACGTGGCCCGTCTCGGTGGGACGCCATCGCATTTGGTCTGTCTGTGTGTCAGTCATTCACTCGTGGACTTCCCTGAATGAGCAAGCCGCCTCTCACGCCGTGGCAACTTGGAGCCACCTCGAACTAAGACCTCAAAGCTGAAAGCTCACAAAGCTTACCAGTGGCACAAGCATTCTCGTGGACAACAAACTTCTTAAAACGATGATTAGTAATTTGTGATAGTAATCATGCCATGGGATCAGGTAATGAAAAAAACATATGAACAACTTGGCAGGTCTTCATGTTCGAACATTCTGGCGCTCATTCTGGCCTCCTAAGGGCCAAATTGTGCCTTCACAAGATTTCACAAGCTCCTCCAAAGCCAGCCAACACAGGAACATGGCAGCGCTGCTTTGGAACCGGGCCATTTGTTCGGTGTCTCGTGCGCTTGCTCCTGGGGCCACAAGGCTAGGTCAGTTCTTGACGCCCCAACGAGACGGCCCAGCTGGTCGTTCAGCTCCGGCGGTAGGTACATATATATCTATATACAATATCCAACACAGCTGGTGGGTTTAAAGGCAAAAAGCACCACTACGCTGAGCCGGGAAGGACGCACCAGCTGGAGTTCTTGGGGAATCCTGGGCGGCCAACCTCACCACGAACCGCACTCCAGGACATAGTTGTGGTGCGCATTTCTTGGAAACCAATGTGCCAGGAAGTATCATATGTCCATTGGTCACCTAATTAATGTCACCTACTTTCAGTGAGAAAGATCTGGCTTGATGAGTTGGTTCTCAACAAGTGTGATCTCCCAGGTCAACAACTTAAAAATCATGAGGAGCCTTCAAGAAGAACACCTCTAATTAGGGATGAAAGCGACACATGGCGTTCCATATATTAACTTACATAACCGCGACGCTCATGTTCTTCTGGCCGCGTTTCTGAAAGCCAGTCCTTGGCACCAGGTCCGCTCATGAGCATCCACCGCCATACCGTGCACCACCTCCAGTCCGGCCTGCAGCGCCAAATTCACATGGTCGGAACATGTGACAAGGAACGACACCGAAGTGGGATGGTACCTGTCTGGGCAAAAAATGGAATGCTATATGGAGCTATGTACGGTTCATCATCCTCACTGCAGAAGCATGGCACCTGTCTGGGCGCATCAACTTACGGTCCTTGTCTGTGTGAGGAAACCTCCTACCAACACGAATTATAAAACTCAACATCCAAAAATCATATAGACTCTAAACCCTTCTCACCGTTGGTGGGAGTTCAAAGCTTAATTAACTGACATGTGTATTAACACACACATATATATATACATAAATATATAGATATAATATGCCGGCTCACCGGCCCAAACTTCCAAAGGATACCGGCCAGCAACCTGCGGGGATCTGGGATTCCGAGCCAATGTCCCTTTTGGCCCCAACTTGGCAAAGAGCCGTCCCAGGTCGGCGGAAATGCGACCAGCTCCCATCCTGAGGATTCAGTTTCTCTCATCGCTGGGAGGCTGGTGGCTCCCCCAAGAAAGGGCGGATTCTGTACGTTTGAGGAGGGTCAGCCAGGCCGCATTGCATGGCATGAATTGGCAACAGCATTTGACTGCTATTAAGCCCTTCGCTAACGCGCAGCCGCCAGCATTCAGGACCCCAAAGTCTTACTTCATGTCAAATTCAGTTACGCTCACTTAGCAAACAAGGTGATAAAATTGGATCATCGTCCAATTCCTGCAGGCTGCTGACCATAACCATCCATAACCACTCATAACCAATCTGATGGACCGAAAAATGAGCTTGGCCGATCTTGGCCAACAAAATCATCCACCGGCCACGTTGGTTCCCTCTGGCTGATACCGTTTTTTTTTTTGCATGAGCAAGTATTGACCTGCCAGAAGTTCCAAACTTACGATGTGTCACATCGCTTCCCAAAACACTGCAGGGGTAGTGGCGGCGGCGATGGTTCAACAAGTGATGGCGTCATGGTGTTAGCTTCTCAGGCCAAGCACATTGGTCCACCTCCAAGGCACATATTAATATTATACGCTCTGAAAGTGCCCGGCAGAATCATCTTAGGAAAGACTTCTCAAACAACTAAGTTTACACATGAAAAGGACATTTGAAGGAACACACAGTTTTTGGCGGCTGGGCTTGACCTTACGAGTTAATGGGGTTGGCTAAAGGCGGTCGTGGTCAATGGCTGGGTGTAGTTTGCAGTTCAGTACGGACCAGAAATTCCAAACTACGATCGGGTCAAACATAGAACGTCGATCATTTAAACATACACATACCAGTTAGTCCCCTTGCATCATGGCATCTTCCACGACCGGATCTCTCATATCAGCCCGTCTGTCGCAGAGATTTGACCAATGGGCATGCATGCAGTAATACTCCAACAATGTGGTTACTATATCCAGTAGGTTTATTGTGTCGTGCTGCCAGCCGCACGACAAATAGTAGGTGCCTGATTTTCTCTATGACCCTTGTCAAATCAGTTCGACACATTTGTTGGCAAGAAAGCTGGTGCGGTGAAACAGCCTGTCAACTTGGCAAACAAAGTAGCCTAACAGTTGGGTCACCCCTCATCCAGCAACATACCCAGCAACAGCGTAAAGTAAAGGCTTCTACATTTTCCTTTATAAGCTAGGAATCTCAAAAGAACTTTAATAAGAGGTAATACAATGTTCAAATTGTGCGCTGCTATGATAGGCTATGGTTTCTTACTTTTGCTGGACAACCCAAGGTATGCAACGGGCTACGAACCCACCAAAAAATCAAGATATGTCATTGGAATCTGGACCGGAACTACTTTGTGGACACCAGAAACGCCCGAAGGAACATGGCAATCTCTGTCGCAAGTGATGCGACAACCTTGGCACCTGAAAGCCTTACCTACTGATACATCAACATAACATCCCCCCACTAAGAAGGATCAAGCAACACATGGGCATGTATATAAATAGGGAGATCCCCAACCAATGGGTTTTGGTCTATTTTCCTTCTTCGAAGGGATCTTTGGAAGGTCTCCCTATTGTAAATACACGCCCTCATGTTGACATCTACCTGCAGCTTTATTCCTTGGCCTTTGGACTGTGGCTTTCTTAGGTCAAAACATTTGAGGCCGGACCCAGCCACCCCTCAACAAGCTAGATCTCAACTCTCAACATCTCTCAGCAGCTATCGTCTCTGGATTTTCTGCGTCAGGTAAGCTATATGATGCGCTCTGCTGGGGAACTTGTGTTGTCTTCAGGTAGGTAGGTTTTGGCCAAGCATCTCCAAATCAATGTCCAGTGATAAGCCCATGCTCCTTAGGGGAGGAGCGGGTTCCCCAATCCCTCTGGGTGACGTGCAGAAACCTTTCCTCAAAGCAGCTTTGAACATGGAACTTCTTGGCTCAGGAATGCAGCCAATTTTAATAGCAGCCTTCCTTGGATTCTTGCAAACAAGCGGCACATGCAACTCGTGGAACAAGCCCTCAACTTTGGAGTACCTGTGGAGTCGTTGGTGATCGCAGGCCAGTTGTCAGCCATTATTTGTTTTTCGAGATTCCTGATTATTTGAATACGTCTGGCTAAACGTGACTCTACAAATTGACCCATCAAATGGGGTGCTTGTTCATGGTGTCCAGCGCAGTTCGCCAAAGCCGTCGAGCATCAGAGACCTGCCCAAGTCAGGGGGGTGAGATAGGGTGACGTTGGTCAAGGCCAAGCAACTCAAGTAGAACTCTAAGTGGATGGCTTTGATGTTAGAATTGGCCCTACTAAAGACAACTCCACGACCAAAACAAACAAGTAATAACAACTACATATATATATAACACCAAGCAGGCTTAATCCAACCAAGCGGGTGTATTGATGGTGTGCTTAACACGAGACCCATCTAGCGTATGCCAGTGCTTTTGGTGGTAATTCGGATTGTTTCTACATTCATGAGTCAAGTATGCTCTTGCAAAGGCCGTGCCTTGCTCCTGGACTTGAGTACATATCAATGTGTGTCCTGTATACGCTTCCGCTCTTGGACATCTGGACATCTACATGCATTATTATCATTATTAGTTTCTGTATTCCATCTCTTTGAGGATTGCTCTCTCTCTCTCTCTGTCTCTTTTTGTCTCTTTTTGTCTCTCTCTATCTCTCGTCAATCCTCAAACATCCAACATATTTCATATGTACCTTGATGGGACCCAGCCCCCAAAGGCCTAGAAAAGAAACATGAACAGCCAGCGCTGCAACGTGCAGAATCTCTGCAGAATCCTTTGTGAAACATGCGCTAGCCAAAAGGGGAAGAATATGGAAGAATCCTCCACAAGAACCGCAAGAGAAACACAACTTCCCGACAAATTGAAATCTCTTCCATGTATGTAGGTCTGTTTCACAACCTCAGGCCATACCGCTGGTACAACAGAACAGGAACAGGATGACATCCACCTAGCTTGCCGGTCACTGGTCCCTGCACTTCTGAGATTGTCTGAGATGCAGTAAGTGAGCTGAATGCTGTTTGTTGTCTATGGAAACTGTGCCCGTTTTGGTTGAGGGCCAAGAAGAATGCAATCCCACACTTCCCAGGCGCCGGCAGTGCGACGCATGGCCTGGGAGTCGAAACCAGCAGCCTCCACACGCAAAGCCAAGAGATCCTGGGCACGGGCCACAGGAGCGTGCACAGCTGGTGCGCAGCTAGAGATGGCTTAGCAGGTTGTAACCGTCACCGTTCTGCCTGGCCGCGCCGAAAAAATACAGAGGCACCACAAAGAGGTAAATGTGAACATGAGCTGCAACCCAGAGGCCTGTCGGGGTCTGTTCATGATGTCCAAATGTTCTCAAATTTGCAAACGAAACATCTACCACGCAATCACGTAGTTCGTCGGTCTTTCCCTCTCTAAGCCCATCATATACATCTCTCACAATTCTTCGAGCCGAGTCACATAATAAGAGCCTCGGCGGAGCAACAGAAACGACGAAATCATGTGACCGGAGCGCATACGAAACGGCGTATCCAAAGAACGCTGGATACATTTCGTTGGTTCAACGACTAGACATAAGTTCAGCTTCCACACCTGCAGGAAAAACAGCAAAGAGATGCAAAGAGGCTCCATGAAATCATGATGCAGGGTCCCCTGCAGGGTGTGGGGCTTGGGATAGCGATCCTCCAACAGTTGAACTCACATCTCTTGTCAAAGGAAAACGGTGTGCACTGGCAGGATGGCAAGCAAGGAAGGGAAGCAAATGATTTTATCTCTTGCGGGAAGAAGGAGTGATAAAGCTCAGGTCCCGATGACATGGAAGGGTTTGCTCCCGAATCATCTACGTCCCCTTACTAGGAAACTTCTGAACCAATCATCTGCAAATTAGTCTGCTAGTGGGTTGGGTTGACTTCTGTTGACTGCTTGCACAGGCTGACACTATTTAGACAAGTCATACAGAGTTCTGGTCATTCTCCGTGTGCACAACGTCAAAGAGAATGGGAGTAAAGGTTGTAGACCACGACAATCACGTGAATACAGCGGTTGCATGCAAGAGTAAATGCATCATAAAGTAAATGCATTATTACATTATAGTCTCACGATGTGACTTATGTAGCTCATAGACTCATAGATTTATATAAATCATCTAAATTCCTTTCGCATGCGCACTGTGAGACAATTGTAGGGTACTTCAACTCCCTCGACGCGTAGTGTACTGTATGCATTTTACATAGATAGCTTAGATAGATAGATAGATACATAGATAGAGAGATATATTGATAAATATGAAGATCCATCTATATATAAAGAAAGAGAGAGAGAGGTAGATAGATAGATAGATAGATAGCATCAAATTTCGCGAGCAAAGGGGGCATCCCCGTTCCAACCATATTGAAAAAAATATAAAATTAAATCAAGAAGAGGGATATGGTGGGTGTTGGTGTGGATTTCCACGTCCGGAGGCTGCGCATATTGTTTGAGTGGCGTGCTGGAGTTGGAAGTTCACCCCAAGATGTGGGACAAACAGCAAACAGCAAAACAATTAAAACAACATACATGCATACATGCCTTACATGCACAGAACATCACAGAACGCTCGTCAGTGACAAGTGATGTAGTGCGGTGTAAAGTGTAAACAAGTCAAATCAAAGAAACTAAGTCCTAAGTGGAACCAAGTGGAATCAACTGGAACTACGTGGAACCAAGTGGAACTCTTGTGGAACCAAGCGGAACTAAGTGGAACTAAGTGAATCTGTGCTTTCCTTTCACTTTGTCAAACAAACAATTGAACACAGTGGAACCAAGTGTGGAACCAAGTGGAACTAAGTGGAAACCTTATCTATGTAGCCCACATAGCAGTGGAAAACATGTGCATTGCTTTCAGTTAGTTGTGGTTTCCACTGCTATGTGGGCTACATAAATATGGTTTCCGCTTAGTTCCACTTGGTTCCACTTAGTTCCACTTGGTTCCACTTGGTTCCACTTGGTTCCACTTTGTTCCACTTCGTTCCACTTGGTTCCACTTAGTTCCACTTGGTTCCACATAGTTCCGCTTGGTTCCACTTCGTTCCATTTGGTTCCACTTCGTTCCACTTGGTTCCACCAGGTTGTCCCACCTGGCCACAACTATACGTCTGGTGGTATGTTCACCCCACGACGTCCGGATACTTCGAAGTTTATAGTGTGACTTTCGCACTGTCGGAGGCTGCGCATGGATTGTTTTCTCCCTGTGTTTGATGTGGTGTTGCAAACATCTTTGGTCCTGGGTCTCTCAAAGCCTCAGATTGAAATTCGACCAAAGTTTTGGCACCTATGACGTTCAAAATATGTTACCATGATAAGATACAGAAATATATCAGAACAAAACGCACTGTACCCACAGTTCAATCAAACATATGTATGCATGCAAGCTGCGGTGGTTAAAATAACAAACAGGCCCTGGGAACCAGGACCTCGTGAAATTTGATAATAGATAGATAGATAGATAGATAGATAGATAGATTGATTGATAGATAGATAGATTAGATAGATTAGATAGATAGATAGATAGATAGATAGATAGATAGATAGATAGATAG